AAAAAAAAAAAAAAAAAAAAAAAAAAGAAAGAAACGGATCCACTACTGGAGGCAGAGAATCAAAAAAGAGAGTGTACAATTAATTTTTCGAGGGTGATTGTATATATCCTTACTTTGCCTTTGCGTTTCATTTCAGCTACGCTCGCGTATACCCTGCCGGTCTTAGCAGGCGAGGAGGGATGCGACTTGGTAGCTTGACCAGTCTGAAAGTGAGAGCTCATCATGGACGAGCTGTACTGACCACTGGTACTACCTTGCTGCCGCTGAAATAGTTCCTGGAAGAAAGGAAGGACGAAGCTGAAGCCTCGGTTGGTTCGTGCAATGCCATTCGAGGAGAACAAGAAGAAGCGCGTCGTGATTTCTCGAGCAACGAGGCGATAATACGCCTCGCGATACTGTACCTCCAGCTCTGCGGCGGTGATCCTACTGGAGGTGGGTCTCGAACGAATACTGGCCGTTCGCGGCTGAACCGGCGTGTTCTGCCCGGTGTTGGGCCCGGTCGACGGCTGCTGAGGAAGATGGATCGATTCCGCGCTGCTCGACTTTGCTCCCGTCGACGTTATCTCGTCCCGATCGTCTCTCTCGCCACCGCCTTCTGCAGCCAATTTTCAGAACGTGTGACATTTGGCAATCAGAAGAACGTGTGATATTTGGCAATGCTTCAAATTTCGTGTCTGATCTTACAAACAAATTCAGATTACATTGACAACTGATAGAAGAAGGTCACTGGAAGACTAGAAGAACTACCAAAGTGGTCGAAATGGCCAATTTTGTTAGATAGACGAGGCAGCGTGTTTTAAAGATTTAAATAACTTTTGAATATATATAATATTATATATAATTATTGATAATATATATATATAAATTTTTTTCTAATAAGTACAGAAAAGTAAAATATATAATAATATTTATTTATATATTTATTATATTATATATATATAATTATATATATAATTTTCGTCAAATGTAAAATGTTTCTCTACCTTTTTGTGTTTCAATCATTCAGAACTGCCAATTACGGTCAAAATTACTTATTTTTGTCAGATATCTTATAAACTTGTGAGTAAGCGTATTTCAGAGATTTAAATAATTTCTCGTCAATTTTTCTTAAAGTTTCTCCATCATTTTGAATTTTGAACGTCTCTGATGGAAATTTTCTCCTCCTTTGATAGTTCCAGCGTTGAATTTAAGCGAAACAGTTCTACCAAGAGATTCAAGATAACTGCGTACTCTTTTCACGTTCGAGGATACGTCGATCTCTCGCATATTCGACGAAAAGTTTACCTAATCCCGCGACCATCGATCTTGCTCGCGCCCGGCCAACGCTCAGAGTGGTCTTCGGGTCTCTCCGCGGTGGCATCGGGGCCGGTGATCTGCCGAGGGTGCCGCCAATCACTACGTTGTTGTTGCCCTTGCGCGGCAGTGTCGCGTACTGCCTCTGAATGGGTTGACTAGTTGGCAAAAGTGCTGCCGATTGCGAATTCGGAAGGCTGATCACCGGGGATACCACCGTCATTCTGACCAGCTCCCCGGACTTTCGTATCAAGTCGACCACGTGCTCGTGCGACGCTGTTGTCACATCCTCACCGTTGATCTACGAAGAGGAAAAAAATCGACAAGCAAATTACATTCAAGAATACAAGCTATAAATTATAATTAGGGTGTTTCGTAGCACCCATTTCGGGAGCTAATTGTACGCCTAAAAATAATGAAAAAAAGTCATATAAATATATGTCCTATCTGTCTTTGTTTATGAGATATAATGAATTCTCTGTTTTAATTACTTTTACAAAAGATGCTCGAAATAACCACCTTGCATTTGAAGATAAGCCTGCACGCGTCTTGTCATTCATCTGGTTACTCTATCGTTCCTGGTGTTTCTCGAATTTGTCGGAAGCCTTGCTCTATTCTATTTCGTAGTATTTCAGCATTTTCAATCGA